AAGCCTGAATTTAGCCTGAAACTCTCAGACTGAAGAAGTCTCTTGGAGGAGAGACGAAACGTTTCATTAGAGAAGAACCCGTCCAGAAGACCTATACAATTGTTTTTCTTTTTCACACAAAAGATGATATGAATTTAAAACTCGGGCACGAGGAAAGGGCGACATGCAGCATTCTGAGTCAATACTGGTGTTTCCATGTGGATGAAGACGTTTCTTGCAACAGTTCTAATTACAAAGTTATTATAACAAATAACAAATAAGACCGTTTTGGAAAACCTGTATTTTTCTGGACAAGGCCAGAAGCTCTCAAAGTAGCCATGTACAACATGAAAGATATACATTTTATATATTAACTTTTCCACAGAACCAAATATAAAATAATCTGAATTTTAACTTCAGATGCTAAATTCATGATCTATAGTAAAGAACTTCACTCCTGTCACTAAAACCAGGCGTTAATAAGAGATAAAAGATTAATATAATCCCTTTGCATAGAGAATACATTTTCTAGAACAACACAGCAGCTCAGAAAAGTTTGATATTTTCCTGTTAGTCAGAAATATGATCTGTTTTATATAAGATGCTGCTTCACTTGGTTTGTTTTTGATCGTACAAGTTAATGTAGGAGCAACTAGTGTTTGTTCAAAACGTTTTTAACTTTCTTTTCTCTGGACCATGTTTATTCATGTCCTCCATCATTATTTATTCATATTATTATGGTTTCAGCCTTCATCAGCTGGTCTCCTCAGTTCACTATTTAGTGCTGAACTAACACTGAAACGAACTGGAAGCACCCTGACATYCACAGACACATTTTTGTGGTTCTGACTCGGACTAGTGGGCTAATTTGACCCAGAAACGAGCTCCGAGCTCCTACTTGGACCCTCGGCGAGCTAACTGGGCTCATGCTAGCAGCCGGCTAACCTCCCGGACCGAACAACAGCTTCCTCTGACCGCTGAGGAGATCACTCACCGGCGGGCTGGACACGGGCTGAACACCGGCAGGCAGATGCTAACAATAACAAACAGCAAAGGTTGTTGTTGTTTTTTTTTTACCAGGAGTAAAAGCTTGTTTAGGTCTTGTGAACAGGAACAGGTCAGAACAACTGGCAGCTCCGACACRTAAATTACCTACAGAGAATTAGCTAAAAGCTCCATAGATATCTGTGCAGCAGCTGCACAACTCAAGGTTTTATTGGCCTCTGCGTACTGATGTCACGAGCAGGGGTGCCAGCAGGGGGAGGGGGCAGGGGGGCCATGCCCCCCTCCCCCCGAGAATAAGTTGGCCCCCCCCAAGTTTTATCCTCTTGAGTACCTATTTAGGAATATAACCTCATAAATATAAAAACAAACACTGATTTTTTAACAATTAAGAGTTTAAAGCAGGGGCGCCCAAACATTTTCTCTGAGAGGGCCAAGATTAAAAACAATCTGAGGGTGGTGGGCCAAACGCAATAATACATGAAATGCAAAAACTTCAAGTAAAGTTATATTTTTTTATGATTAAGCTAGCAGCCAGTWTAATTGCCCATATTTTTTGTTTGTTTGTTTGTTTTTGTTTTTTCAGCCCATGGACATGGATAAAATTCAACATTTGCTTGGGCAGCAAAGGCTCATGGGACTTTTCATAATTTAAAATTTGACTATATGGGGTCTTACAAGGTGTGCAAATCTAGAAAGTGACTTAAATCTAATATAAATGTCTCTTGAATTTACTTGTATTTTAAGTTTAATCTAAACATAATTCAAAGACAAAGTGAGTACCATGAGTTAAGACTATCTGACTACAGCTCCTTGCACGTATAGTTGGACCAATGTTWGAAAAGACTAAGTGCAAATATAGTATTTCTACATAAAACAGGAGATTACAATCTAGTAACCAGGATAACTGCTAGTGGGCCAAATCAAATGGGTTGGCGGGCCAATTTTGGCCCGCGGGCTCCACTTTGGGCACCTCTGGTTTAAAGCATTAATTACCTCCGCCGAGGGGGTAATGTTTTCGGTCGCGTATGTCTGTCGGTCTGTCTGTGGACCGCATAACTCAAAAACGTGTGGACAGATTGTCATGAYATTTACGCCACGTGTTCATACTAGCACACGTAACACACCATTAAATTGTGGTGATGTTTCGGATCACGATGCGGACACAGGATTGTTTCTTTTAATTCGAGCGAATCAGCCAGAMGTTGCGAGCTCCCCCAGCCCTGCACAGAACTTCAGGAACATGTTGCTAAGTTGCGTGAGTAACAGAGAAGACGCGGGCGCAACCGAGCCGAACCTGGTACCAACCCACGAGCTGAACCACCGGCCCAGACGCAGGTCAGAGGGCCGGTGGTTCGGTCCGTGAACCGGCCCACAGGCTGGAGTGAACCACCGGTCTGATGCGCGCGAGTCGTCTGCGCAGGGCGAGCGCGACATCAAGGAGCGACAGGTTCTGGGGCTCTGATGTTTTTCTGGATTCATTGTGCTCTAAACTATAACATATCAAATGACTTCTCTACCTCTCCTCACCACGGGTCGGGCCKATCATACCGCACAGCTGATCTGCGCTGCAGGGCGCCACCTGACCTGACGATGAAGAGTGTAGCTCATAAAAATTAGTCCCAATAACCCTAGACGGGCTGCTAAAACAAACAGTGGCGCTTATTAAAAACTAAACATCCACAAAATAAGAAATGCCTTGTCCCTGTTAGTGCTGCATCAATTAAATCTCTGTTTGTCTCTGACATCCAGCAGAGAGATGCACAGAGAAGCAGCTCTAACAGGGCCGAGTGGCTTCAAACAGAAAACTTCTCCCATAAAGCTCAGCCTGGCAACAAATCAGCTGTTTACCTCAGAAGATGAATTTGAAAAGTCTTCCAGCTAGATCTAACAGAGACGTGCAGTGCTCCAGCTCGTCATTTCACTSTGGAACATCACCTGTCAGTCACCAGGGGCACAACAAGTGGGGGTGGCCWCGGGGGGCTGTGCCCCACCAGTTTTAACCTCGTGAGTCCCAAGCTTTGTTCTGATTTAAATATTTCCCAGCTATATAAGATTAGTCGAACCTTATAAATTTAAAACGTTTTTGAAAAACTAAGAATTAAAAATATGAATATATATTTTACTTAAAATAAAAAACTTAAAATAGTTAATCTGAAAAAAGACAACTAGTATAAAATAAATGTCCTCAATTTCAGGATGAAGCTTTTTATGAGGTTAGAGGCATTGAATAAATCAATATATTAAAAATTTAAAAAAAAAACTTAAAATAGTTTAATCTGAAAAAAGACAACTAGTATAAAATGTCCTCAATATCAGGATGAAG